AAGTGTCATTTTTAGGTTATCACATTTCCGCGAGTGGCACCAAACCGCTAGACACTAAGATAGAAGCGATTAAAAAATTTCCCGTTCCTACTAACATTCGTCAACTACGGCGTTTTCTAGGAATGATTAATTTTTACAGACGTTTCTTACCGCGCGCGGCTGAGTTACAAGCGCCACTAAACAAGTTATTAGTTGGAATAGTAAAAAACAACCAACCGATAACATTGAAAGATGAGTCACTCGATGCGTTCGAGCGCTGTAAACAATCCCTTTCAAACGCTGCATTATTAGCGCACCCGGATTGCCAAGCGAAACTCGCACTTATTACCGACGCATCGGACACAGCTATCGGCGCTGTATTACAACAATTTACAGATAACGCATGGCAACCGCTTGCATTCTTTTCGCGTAAATTAAGTCCATCTCAGGTTAAGTATTCACCTTACGACAGAGAATTGTTAGCTATTTATGAAGCCATTAAATATTTTAGGCACATGTTAGAAGCTAGGCATTTTATCATTTATACTGACCACAAGCCGATCAGTTTCGCATTCCACGAACGGCAGAAAAACTGTTCGCCTAGACAGTATAGGCATTTAGATTATATTGCTCAATTTACTACGGACATCCGTCATATTTCCGGTAAGGATAATGTTGTTGCCGACACTTTGTCTCGTGTCGAAGCGTTAGATCAACCTCTAGACTTAGAAGCCTTAGCAAAAAGTCAGGCTACGAACCACGAACTTCAAAAATTAATTACTGAAGGTTCGTCGTTACGTCTAGAAAAATTAACATTACCCGGGTGTCGAACCCCATTGTACTGCGACGTAAGTACACCGACATCTAGGCCGTTTGTAACAAAATATTTCCGTAGACAGGTCTTCGATTGTTTACATTCGTTGAGCCATCCAGGCGCTAATACAATAGCGAAGTTAGTCGCGGAACGCTACGTATGGCCGAGTGTTAGAAAAGACTGTCGTGATTGGGCAAAAACTTGTTTAGATTGTCAGCGCTGTAAGATTACGCGACACGTTAACGCACCGCTAGGGACATTTAATTTGCCCCGCGCGAGATTTAAATATGTACACATCGATCTCGTAGGGCCGTTGCCGTTATCAGATGGTTATCGATATTGTTTAACTTGCGTTGATCGCTTCACTCGATGGCCAGAAGCTATACCGATCGCGGATATTACAGCGGAGACAGTAGCTAAGGCGTTGCTTTCGTGCTGGATATCTCGTTTTGGCTGCCCGACGGACATCGTAACAGACCGCGGCAGACAGTTTAAGTCAGCGTTATTCCAGCACCTCGCGAAAATAGCCGGATTTCAGCACAAGCGTACGACTGCTTATCATCCAGCAGCTAACGGTCTCGTTGAACGTTTTCACAGGCAATTAAAAGCGTCTATAATGTGCCATGCGCCACAAAAATGGACCGAGTCTTTGCCGTGGGTATTGCTAGGCGTACGATCATCGTTCAAAGAAGACTTAAACGCGTCGTCGGCTGAACTTCTTTACGGGGAGCCTCTTAGGTTACCAGGCGAATTTTTTGATCCTGTAAGTTGCGGTACAACTGATGTCAGTGACTTCATCGCTCGATTGCGAGCTTTTGCGCAAAAGTTACACCCGACACCAGCCTCGCGACATGGTATCAAAAACATTTTCGTTTTTAAGGACCTTGCCAGTACTGATCACGTCTTCCTGCGTGAAGACGCGGTGCGGGCGTCATTACAACCTGCGTATACCGGTCCTCATAAGGTCATGTCTAGGAGTGACAAATCTTTCACTTTATTAATTAACGGGAAGGAAGTAACAGTCTCCATTGACCGCCTCAAGCCAGCGTACATTTTATGCGACAGTAACAACAATGCCGCAACTAATGACCAACTTGTGACTAAGGAGCATACGACTCGTTCGGGACGTAAGGTGAAGTTCACCGATTTTTATCGCCCTTAACCAGGTCTCTGGAGGGGGGTGATGTAGGTGACCTCCTACATATTTCCTAAAACACTTCACAGTCACACATACACGCACATACATCACACGCATACACGCACACATAAACACGGGTGCATGACGAGTGGTCGACGTCACGTCGATTTGTTGACCTCTGATTGGCAAATTCGAATTGCAACGCACAGCTGAGCGGGGGTCACTGACCGGTTTTGCATACGCGCGAAACGACAGTGGAGTTCCGCAGCGCCCGCGACATACCACGCTTTCGATTACGCAACTTGTTACTTTGTTATCCGAATTTGTGCATTTCTCTTTCTCCTACTTGTATTCTTCTTCTCAGTGTTGTACTCTCCTTCTGATTATTTGTTGTGGACTGTGAGTGATAATAAACTGTGTTGTGAATATAACTGTGCCTCATTTCACCTGTCGCCGCACTCAACCTTCACATCATCATCACTCGCACCTTCCCACACCGGAGGTGACACCACGTCACCCCATTACCTTCCCCTTCAAATTTAAACGATTTTTTTAAAGTTGAATTCACATCGAATATTCACTAATACAAATATTGTGTCTTACATATGTCAAAGAATTAAGAATTAATTCCATTCTATTAAAAAAAAGCAACCATCATTGTAACTAAATACAAGGACAATATTTATTACTATTTTTTTTATTCCGAGCAGACGAAGACGTGGGCAAAAGTTAATACACTATAATCTGATATTTTATACTGTTTCATCGAATCCAGATTGCATCGCGAAGCTCTAAAGCAATCAGCAACAGACCCTGCATCAGGTCGTATCGACGTGGGCATCCTGACGACAGGGCTGGGTGCGGCGGCGCGGCGCCGGCGAGCTGACCTCGTGGCTGCGCTGCGGGAACTCATCAAGCCATACTCCAAACCTCACACCATCACACATGCTAAACTGCTGCAAGATGTTAATGCTGCCTCACAACTTGTTAGTTAACTGCTACTTTTAATCTTACTAACATAATAAATGCGAATGTTTAGATGGATGTTTGTTTGAACTCGATGACATTATACCAAATATCTATCCATCCATACATACATTCATTTTAATTATCTATACCAATAAGTTCCTAATATTATAAATGTAGTGTAAAAGAATATATTGGCCACTTATTAAGGTCATATTTATTTTGTTTGACTTCCGAGCAGACGAAGTCGCTTGCAAAAGCTATATTATGTGTATTTTTTTAAATTACATTTTATTTAATAAGTCAATTTTTTTATAACCATAAAATAATGTGTTTTCAGATGGTGTCTCGTGAGCAACTGGATGAGGCACTCCGCGACCTGCAGGACGAGGGGAAGGTGACAGTGGTCAGCCACACGCACATACGTCTCTGCTGATCCTAACACAAGGCAAGTGTGATTATATACATCTTAAATTGTACACATTCATGTATCACAAGCAGAACTTTGTGTCAGTTTTTTCTTAATAATGCTCCTTACCTAATTATTTTCCAATAATTTTAAATCCATTTTTGAAAGACTTGTATTTTACAATTATGTGCCTTTATGTGAAATAGTTATTAAGCTTTAATTCATTTTTAAGTTCAAAAATTAAAATATAAAAAATATTTTTTTTTCCATTTGTTTTTTTTTGTGATAGCGGAACTCGCCACATTATCTTCTTATATAATTCTCGTGTCACAATTTTCGTTCCCATACTCCTCGGAAACGGCTTGACCGATTCTCATGAAATTTTGTGAGCATATTGAGTATGATGGATGTGATGTGGATGGATGGATGGGTGGGTTACACTATTTAAGTTTTTTTTTATATATCCACGCGGACGGAGTCGCGGGCGACAGCTAGCTGTTAAATAAAAAAAATATAATCCTGTAATAAATAATCTTTATTTACATAAAACTTTTATACAAATAGCCTGAAGCCCAACAACTTAATATTTTGCAGAACACACATAGATCTTAAAAATTTAAAACCATCTCTTAGCGTTCAAAAGTATAAAACATTTTATTCTCTTCAATTCTCATATTTTTAAAATAAGCTTAACAATATATAGAAGTGCTAAAGTAAAAATAACTCGTTTTAAGTTTTTATTATTTGTCTTTTAATACTGTACAGGTTAAAATACAGTTATATTTTTTGACCCGTAAATATTTGGTAGGAAGAAAGTAAATGAAGAAAAAATAAATAAACAATGTATAATCGAATTCAATAGGAATAAGAATGTATTATCACATCATTTGTCTATGGATTTATTTTGGAAAGTTTAGTTTTTAAATTCATAAGCTCTGCTTATGAAGAATTTTGTCTAAAAAATTTAGTTTTTTATTCTTTTTTATATTTTAAATCAAACTCTTATGACCAGTAATTTCTGAATTACCAATTAATTAAGTTGTATTAAAACTCTTTACTTTGTTAAAACTCATTTCTATTGAATTCGATTAAAACATATTTATTTGGTTCTCAACTTATAGTAGGCTATCTTAAATTGTGTAGTTACAACTAATATTCCAAAGATCTTATAACATTTCCAATTATTAGCGTAAATTTTCACTACTGATTTTTTTACAAAAACATATTATAATATGTTTTTTATAGTACTCGGAAGTAACTTATTATACGTTATAATAATTTCAAGCCACACTTTTCTCTTACGCTTTTACATTTTAAGCCATACTTAGTCATGCAAAGTGATTCATAAAATTGAAAAAATTTCTATTCATTTGCTTTTCATTAAATTAGTAAACAGATTTGGTTGAGTTTTCATGAACTTAAGTAATAAATCAATTTGGAAGTTGGAAAATGGAAAGTATTTGGAAGCTTGTGTAAATATGCTCTACATATATATTATATATTTTGTGCCCCTGTATGTTTTTAGAACTGTAAAATTAAAAAAAAAACTCAGTCCTTGTTTAGTTAAAAAAAAATTATAAACATTGCGAGTTGCGACTTCAATTAACAAAGAAAGTCAGACATATCCTATAAATACAATATACTAAGCTGTACATCAAGACTTTACATTGTGATCTGGTGGCTGGTCTCCGACAGTCTGGTCTAGACCCTGGCTGGTCTCCGGTCCTGCCTCGGTCTCGCGCGGGTCATACGCGTCTGCGCGTGCGCATGCCTCCAATACATACTTATTGAATAACTCCGGCTTGTCTACGTATACATGATGGCCAGCTCCATTGATCACCTGTAAATGTGTTGTATTTTTTTATCAACATCTGTGAAGCTAGCTGTTAACCTAACAATGTTTCTCATGTATGTAATACTAACTGTTGCCCGCGACTGCGACAGCGCAAAATTAAATAAATAGTAGCATATGTGTTCAGACTATGTTCTACATCTATACCAAATTACAGCGAGATCCATACAGCCATTCTGGAGATACCTTCTAACAAACATCCATCCATCCAAACATTCGCATTTATAATATTAGTAACAGTAACATTGAAAATGCCACATAATTTGTTTTGTCAGTCTATATGTCTGTCTGCAAGCCCTTTGTTCCGGGTAATCTCCAGAACGGCTGAACAGTTTTTGACTTTGATGGGAAGATAGCTGATGTATGCGTGCATATCATAGGCTACTTTTTTTAATTCTAAGATGAAGTAGAAGGCAACCCTTATAATAATTTATAAATGTGAATGTGGTACCTGTACATATGTAGCAGAGTTGGGTCTGTGCTCGGTGAGCAGCTGGCTGGTGGAGTTGTCGACCCAGGAGCGGCTGCCGTACAGCACGGTGACCGGCAGCCGCGGCGACAGAGAGCCAACACGATGCACCATCGGGTTCTTCGCCCAACCGAAGCCGGTCATCAATGTGTGGAATGCACTTTCACCACTACAATACAAACATTAAATTTATTACAAACAAAGAAAAAACTAGCCGGTCAAACATTTTTTTTTCTATAATTTGCCAACATATAGTTTTTAGTTAAATTGTGAATATGACAAACCAGGTAGTTAAAAAAACATTCCTACTCTATAATAAAAAAAAATTGTCTTGAAAAAATATGTGAAAATTGACTTATGTTGAATTTTTGGGATGTCACTTCAAAAGCAAAGTATCCATACCTGGGCGTCTGAGAGTTGCATTGGTAAATATAATCTGGTATAAGTTGGTCCGCGTCAGGCAGGAATGCGGCGAACTTGCGAGGTATATCTGGACGTGTCTTGCCGACCAGCCAGCGGCCGGCCGGGCCCGCCGCGCGCACCGCCCACAGCGGGTTGAACGGCTGCACCGCCGTCGCCACAGCACGCACCCACAGCGGCATCTGGTACTTCTCGTACACGTTGGACGGCTTTTCAGGGAAGCCCCACGGATCCGCTAGGATTAAGTGCCGAACCCTGGTAACATCTCAGAAATTAAACCTCTTTATTACGAAAAAAATATCGGAAACTATCAACATACAATACCCAGACTTAAGTAAGTTTAAGTGACATACTCAGTATCATTAATTGATCATCGTAACTAATTTAGGGCTCGGAATGTGGCACAAATAATGCCATATTATAAATTTTCAATAAAAACCTGTACAAAACACTTATAATAATATATTCAATCTACCTTTCGGGGTATTTAAGTGCATAAGCAGTAGCAATGTAACCACCGAGGCTGTGGCCCAGCAGTATGATCTGGTCGAGGTTGACCTCACGTCGCCACTCCTCCACAGACTCCACCCACTGTGCCTCCACCTTGCTCGCGTCCGACGAGAACTTGGGCCGCGAACTGCGACCAAAACCTAACAAAAATAAAGATTAATCTTCATTTGCGGTATGGTAATGTTGCCAGTAATGAAAAAGTGCATTCATTAAGCTTTTTTAACTTCTAATTCTCAATTGAAAAATATACAATTTTTTTTTCATAGTTTCTCTTTACACCGAAGATTAGGATATCTTAGTTACCTAATAAGTCAATGGCGTATACAGGTCGGTGCGCAGCAAGAGCGTCTAGGTTAGTACACCAGAGCGCGAGACCAGCCCCCATGCCGTGTAAAAGAACAAGAGGAGCGCGCGGCGCGTCCTCGTTTAGACAGATAGTCCATATCTTGTCGCTCTGACCCACCACTGAACCAATGTCCACATAGAAACGTTTGTACACTGTCTTCACACCTTAAAACAAAACATATAATGCAATTAACATCATATTTATGACTGGCTGTTGCCCGCGACTCTGTCCGCGCAGAATAAAAAAATTTAATAAGTAGCCTATGTGGTCTACCAGACCATGTGTTCTTGAGATAGCTTCGAATAAACATCCAAACATTTACAGTAATAAGATTAATTTTGCATGAATATAAAACCTATACTTGATAATAAGCGACTATTATAAGCTTTCTTTAAGATTCAGAATAATTTTGAAACATTTTTAGTAAGTTTACATTACTCCAGTCCAGTGATCATTCGACTGGAATAATGTTAATTGGTCGTGACATCAAGAAACTCCAATGTGGAACTAATTGAAACCTTGTACCCATGTAGATGTAAGGAGATATAAATATTCACACATTTTTTCAGATAATTAAGAGGTCACTTCATTATGTGAAGGTCATTTAAGTTGTAGCCTAAAGCCGAATATCAAACAAAAGATTAATAAAAGTTACAAAAGTAGCTACATTGTTCTAAAATGTCGTTATTTAACATTTTTTTTTACTTATTTACAATGTAGAAATAATACTTTGATATCAATACAATCAACATTCAATTTAATCAGTAATATATTACCAATAATAATTACTATTACTACGGAAAGACAAAGGTCATTTGTTTTTACTCAGCATGACCTTTATTCTCTGCCATATTTACTCATTCAAACAATCTCTGATAAGGAAAATACACTAATGCATAAAAACTGGCCTATTTGGACTTGATAACTATTAGTTGATTGCCCTGTGATATTGGATCTTTTTTAAATTACAAGACTTAGGTCTCAGCTATACTGTTTAAAATTACTTCCGCATTCTTCAGTATCAAAGAATTTATGTTGACAAGTTAAAAGATATGGCAATAAATAAGTACAGCAGTCAAGGTCGTATGATTTATAATAAATACGTCAAACAGATAAAAAATAATCAACGCAATAGTTTTATCTGACAGATAAAAAATTGAGGGTCAATAAAGTGTAAGATAGAATTACGGATGCAGCTGATATAATAAAAAAATAACGCCAAAATGCATTTTTAAGTTTACTTGTTACTAGCTGTCGCCCACGACTCCATGCATGCCGAATTAAAAAACAAACTTAATTAGAAGCCTACATGTTCTTATACTAAATTACGTCAAGATCTGTTGAATCTTTCTGGAGATACCTTCAACCAAACATCCATACATCCATCAATGTAAACATTCATATTTATATTAGCATAAATATAATACTGGCATGAAAAAAAGAATTTTGCAAATAGCAAGCAGTATTTCATAATAAATAGAATCATATCTACATAATGTCGATTTTGCATTATCACCTTAGTAATATATAAAAAACATGACTTAGCATAATCAAATGTAAATTTATGTCATACTTACATGATAATATTTTTTTCTCAATATTCCTTAGCATCTCATCTGATTGTCGTGTCCAGCTGAACCAGCCACCGGTCCAACTAGAATAAAAATAAAATTTTAATGTTAAGTTAAAAAAGTAATAATATTATGAAGCTCACCACTTTGTTAATGTATACTAAATATACAAACTACGAAATACTTCTCATCATTGACAAAATTGTCCAATATGTTTTACAATCTTTATAGTATAATTTTAGATTATTTAAATTAAGATCTAGACTTATTCCAGTAATTTATATATGGAATATAGTGGACAATAATATAATTATTGTTGTATATAAAGAAATATTTAAAGCAATAAAAGAAAGCAGCAGGAAGCCAGACAAGCAACAGATATGTGAATGAACCTTACTTCCATACAACGGACAAGATTAAGCCAATCCATGTCCAGCTAATCGCGCTGAAAGTCAAACAATTATTTATTGTGTTAAATGTGCAAAGTTCAACTCAAATCAATTACTTATGACATATCAGAGAAGACAATTTTAATTTTGGATTTCCAGTTCCGAAGTATTTACATAAAATCTTTTTTAGATCTCATTCATTCTTAAAACAAAAATATATACATATGAGGATTGAACTACATTTAAGATTATGTAAAAACATAATCAACCTTATGTCAGTACAAAGGCTTAAATTGACAAAAACAAATTGCAGAAAATAGATCATTTCTTAGTTAGGCATAATAGCATTCAAATTTTCATAATTTTAAGTTATATATGAGAGGAATATAAAACCAAAACATGAATCAGTCCAATTATATATAGGCATACCAAATTGTAGTTATTAAACAAAAAACAATATAAAAAATAGAGAATTTGGACTGAAGTGTGTTTGCTTTATTCCTACCTTCCTTTAAGCCCACATGTTAGAATTGATACAACCAAACCAATGTAATGACAGACACCAAGAAATATAAATATATTAAGTAAATCTTCTCACCCATTATGATACAAAAGTCATTAATTATTATTTCTATTGAAACACTATTATAATCACAAATTACATGCAAAAACAAAACATAAAACTTGCTTGTCTAATCCCATTGGTGATTTTTTTTTAGAAGATTTAATCTGTAAATATAACATTAAATATGAACATACATTTTATAAGCATAATATATAAAATGTTATGAAAACTATTTGATGTCAGAAAATTTTCTAAATGAGTGTGTTTTACTTCCAATGCAGTGTGATAAAATATAAAAGCATATAAATTTGAACTTTTGCCATAAAACTATGTCCTTTACCTTAAAACGCCAACAAATATATGACAAATGAGTGGCAATGAAGTGCGAGTCCAAATGCGAGTGCGCCCAGGCATTACAAACAATTAGGAACGACTGATGATTTTTTTGCAAATCCTATAATTTTAAATTGAAATTTTGAGTATATACTTCAGTCACAGTTTTATAAAAAAATGTTGTTAAAAAATATAACATTGCGCAATAGTGTAAATTACGTGTTAAATTAAACATTAAAAAAAAGAATTCAGAAGTTACCTGGATCTAGTCGCTGATAAGTTTAATTCACTACCCATCTGGCTAAGCACAAAACTCAATTACACATATCACGCTTCAAAAACACTATAAGTTTACTGCGCACAGAAAAAGTAATGCTTAGTAATCGCAATGGACTAGGAGTCTAGGAAGTATGCAAAATAATAAAATCCGGCAACATGCCAAATTAAAATTAACAGCAACCAACTTCACGTTCACGTATTTTTGACAAGACAATTTTTGACTTTGACACTTGAGCAAAATTAACATGACAAAAACTTATTTAATATTGCCAGCCTCAATTTTAGCTTTTATTTCCAAAAAGGTAATTAAAAAGGAGTCATCTTTTGTTATTTAATACTTTCATAAATTAATTAACTACGCTTCATTTTCAAATTCTATGTCTGCAGTTAGCAAAGTGCTGCTTTAATTTATTAAATTAATTTTAACACCACAAGAAATGTATGGGATTTTGGTATCCATGACATCTGTTTTGGTGTAAACCTTGAAGAAACTACAGTGTTTTGTAAAAACATACTCTTAGATGTATCCTGCGAAAACAAAATAATAAAATAACCAGTATAATGCAAATCTCAATGGTTCAGCCAGTTTTTAAGTTAGAATTAAATCACAAAGTAACACCGGGTGTTGTAATAATTGCAAAATACGATGGCACACATCCGTGCTTAACTGCTTCAGCTGGTTATGACAAAGTATGCTTATTATTGGTATAGGTATGACTATTAGAGAATTATCCGAAGTGGCAATTACAATGGATGTATGTTTTTAGATAATTATTCACCACCCATATGGCGGAATATCTAGTGGACGAGCTCAGCGCTCCCACGCACACGGAGAGGTATCTGAACTGAACGTCAGTCAGGCTGTAATAGCCCTTGCCGCTGGTCCCCTAAGGCCTGATTGCACTAGAGATATGATGTTAATTGGATCACCTACTCAGATACTTGGTATGTCTGTGTAATTATGTGATTTCTAAACTAATATCCGTACCGGTTCTTCTGTTCATCGCAATCGCAACGCATATGCGTCGCAAGAGAGGGCAGCTGATTTCTCTACTGCTGGTACTTTCGGACTTCCTCTCATATGTTTCGCAACGTGTATTCTTGTCATTTTTCTCCTTTTCTGGCTGTTTCTAATTGCCGTAACGAGTTGTTTAACAGTTAATAAGGCTATTTCTAAGCATTGATCATTTGAGCAACAATAAGTAGCTAACTTTTTAAGGAAGAAACTGTTAAGAGTACTACTGAATTAAATTGTATTGTTTGTAGCGTATGATGTTCATGACAACTCCGACCTATTTTTCAAAGAAGCACAAGATGGTGTTAATGTTTTGATAACTGGCAGCTTCGGAAAAAGCAATGACATGCTGGTCATCGTTGGCGGGAACAGCTCAGTGCATGGTCTCACCTGGGAGGGAAATGAGGTGTTCTGGAATGTGGTCAGTGGAAAAGTTACGTCCATGATCACATTCGATTTTGATAAAGATGGTGAAAATGAGGTAAATATTAATTTATCATTTATAAATATTACCTTCACTATTTTTATTCGACTTTATACCACACCGTTACTCAAATCTAAAATTTAAATTATTGGCACGTTTTTTTTTGTTTTTTGTAGTTAATTATCGGATGTGACGACTTTTATATCAGAGTGTTAAAAAACAACCAATTTATCATGGAGTTAGCTGAGACGGGCTCAGTAAGTTGTCTGTCTCCTATTACTGAAGTAAGATTTGCTTACGGCCTGGCTAATGGCACTATTGGCATATACGAAGAAGGATTACGATTATGGAGGGTCAAGGTAATTGGATTTTTCGATCTGTAATGTGAATATACTGTAATTTATGTTTATAAAAATAATTATACTAACATAATACTCGCATATGCAACCAAAAAGAATTGGGCAGAGATGACAAAGTTCATTCGATTAGGTCCATTTTTCTTAGTCTCCACCAATTACCAACTTCGTATCAATTTAAGAATTGTTAACCCACTTATATGTCCATTAGTCAAAACAGAAAGCGATAGCTTTGCAATGGTCCGGGGAGTCGTTAGCGTGCGCGTGGGCGAACGGGCGGCTGGATTGGCGGGATGGGGCGTCGGGCCGCGTGCTACGCCGCGTACAGATGCGTGCCGGTGCTGCTGCCATGCTGTTGGCTGACTACCGCTCCCTTGGCTTGCCGGATCTTGTCTGCGTGTCCGATAGAGGCGAAGGTAGACATGCTTATACACAGACAGACACTCCTTAATTTAAATCAAGCTGCCATTTAAGAAAAGAAACTGGACATCAAATTCATATACTTTCGGTCCTGACCCATGATCAGTTTTATAATATGTGTGGGATAACTGTCTTGTCTAGGACATGCTCGATGTTTTCTAGCACATATTTTATAGGTTTAATGTCTAGTACCAAAGTGACTATTATCTATATCTGTCTCAGTGTTAGGGTATCCCCCGTATCATGAAAACGTTGGATTCAACGCGACGACAAAGAAGATCCCGTCGGAAGAGGACCGACTGGCGATCACAGAACTGCTAAATAGAAAGCAAGCGCTGATGGTGGAAATGCAGCATTATGAGGCGAATGCGGCCAGCGAGGACACGGACGATCGGCCTACCACCGGCATGCCAACTAACACGCGGCTGCAAGTCGCTATCACTCCAAATGACGATGAGGTAATGATCTCATTCGAGAGTAAGTAACGTTCACTTGTTCACAATGTGTTCACTTGTTTGAGCCGAGTGTATTTCAAACTTCGAGAGCTATATGCCAGCGCGAAGAGGATACTGCCTTTTTGTGAAAAAATATTTATCATCTTTTCTACTGTTCAGGGGTGCTTAGATCTGGCTATATCAACGAATAACGAAACTATAGTACGAACAGCGTTAGTCCTAGCCGAGGGAATATTCGAGAGTGGGGAGACTCTGGCTCGACATCCACCAATAAATAACTTGCGTTCCTTGCTGTATGCGCCCCTGAGACCACCCAGAGATGTTCCTGTTGATGTTCATATTAAGGTAATATGGTATTATACTAAGTATACGATAAATTATAATTATCCGTCTATGTATTTAAACTTTTAAAGCTCAGACAACGGTTCAAAGTTACTCGTCAAAATGGTGATGTTAAATGATCAGAATGGCATTGATTGTTATCATTCGATAAAAGGAAATGATGTGTTTTTTTTTAAATAGCCGTAATTTAAAAGTTATTGTTTCAGGCGTTAGTTGGTTATGCCGAAAGCGAACAGTTTCATATCTTCGAGCTCACAAAACACCTACCAAGGTTCGCGATGTATAGAACAGCGCCATCTATACTATCAAAAACTAAATCAGATAACTTCGTAACTTTCCGAATCACAGAACGTATTCAGAGAATATGTATTTGGATTAACCAAAACTTTCTATTGGATGAAGAAGTAGAAATCGAAAATGAAGATATGAGAGAACTTAATATAACCTTTTTAAGTCTGAGAGATAAGTCTCCATTGAATATGAACTTTGCAGCGGACGGACAAGTCAAGTTTACAACTCCTAATATTGGTTTAGCTGGTGATTTGATACAGAGTTTGGCGATTTATTTGAACGTAGGTGATTTGCAGGTAACATTACAAAATTGTATTTACATATATCAATGTAATTGAGTTGAGTGTTCTGTTGATAAAGGTTTTCCAAATACCCTCATGCCTTAACAATAGTTTAACATTCTGCATGTAGCACTCTACTTAAGAACCTAAGTTTTTAGGCAATTTAAAAAAGCTAAGTTAAATGGGCTCACAATGGTTTTTTAATAAAACAATTTGTGTATTTAAATATTTATTATAATCATTATACATTATAAACATCTTAAGTTCTATGCAGATCTCACTTCATTGACCGTAAAGTTCAACAAAGCCTACACATTTAACTGGATTGAAGAAAAACATGTTGTTATGTGGTGGCTCACGTTGGCTCATCGCTTTCACCACCTCCTGACCAATGACACCACCAACAACAGCAGCTGCTCCTGACACTATCCCAAACACATCAGTAAGCAATGCATCACTGATGAAGCCAACTGGCAATGAAAGCTCTTTCACTAACTCATCTCTCATACGTAAAAGTATTTCCGTGTCCGCTTTCCTTCTAGCTGGATCAGGATTCCTGTTGTATTCATCTCTAAAACGTAGTAAAATCTTCATTACGAAATACGAAGGATCTCCGCGGCGCAATCTGGATCTTAATTCAGGCTTTGACCAGTCAGCGGATAACGCGTTTTGTAGGGGAACATATATGGCTCTTCGTTTCACCGTAATACTGACAGTCGCCGCCCCACTTTTCTCCGTATCATCAGGACCACGTTTCACCGCTCTGTGCTGTACTATCTCTTCTGAATACTGATGGTCCACTAAGTCAGCGAACATGTAACCGAACATACCCCAAACATCACCGCAAAGGAACTTTTTGTTTTTATCTCTGCAAATGTTATTGATACGTTCCAGCTGTTCTTGTTTTAGCCCAGTAGCACAAACAATGTCGAAGGTTGTAAAGAAGCTGTCTGGAAGCGAATCGACAGCTTTCGTTTCTGTAGTAATATCAACCATTGGATTCAACGCTTTGGCCCTTACCAGCGAAGCTTCCGCTCTATTCTCGCCGATTTTGTCAGGAGGGGCCAAAAACTGTGAATATAAGTCGATTTCTTTAAGAACTTCATTGTCTTGCAGACAAACACTTTTTACTCCAGATAATATTATGTTTTTCGCTGTCTCGGCTCCGAGACCGGAAAGACCGATTATCAAAACTTTGGAGGCGCGCAAACGTTTTTGTGAATCTAAGCCCCAAAGACGTATTTGACGGTCATACTGTTCTGCTTCCGCTTCCGAAAGTTCAATCTCATTGTTTTCAACCATTTTAAATGCTACTTTAACACAATTTTTTTCAAATAAACAATGCAACTATAAGCGTAAAATATTAAGATTTTGACAACGCTTCGGGAATGACATTTGACAACTAACCTCAATCGAAACGACGCCAAAACCATAGACGTGTTTAAAAAAAATTATGACAGGAACGGAATCGATAACGGATTTTAACGGAAAAATTGATTTGTTTCACTTTGTATACATGAAAACTATAAATATGAATAACTATGCAAAACTAAGTTGCAAAATAATTTGGTGAAATTATCGTATATTAACCAATGAAAATAAAACGTTTAATGTATATTTTCAGTCAATGGCACACTTTCCTGATATCGAAGAGAAACTTCGCGAAGAAATGGAAAATGCTGCGCAAGTAGGAGAGACGAGATCTCGTCTAGCAGCCGAAACAGCGGAAAAAGCTCAACTAATTACCGCATTATTGCCAGCAGCGCAAGATGCCGCTTCCTACGATTTGTGCGTATCTATTAAATTTTAATTTTTTTTGTTAGATCTACTTTTTAAAACTTGGTTAACAAATAGCACAAGATCCTTTTTTACCTTTAAATTAACTTCATTGCAATTTTAAAACATGAAGTTTTAAATTAACTAATGTTTCTTTCAAAGAAATGAAATGTTAAACCGGTACAAGGAAGTTATTCTTCTGAACGAAGAACTACTAACTGGATGTCATGTGCGGCGAGCTACTCAGGAGCAAGCTGTTAACTCCCTCAAAAACTTACACATAATTTTACGACAAGCTGCACGATTGAGAGGTAAACATACATCGATAAATATTTTTTAATCGATTAAATCGAATATAATATCGTCTATGGTCTAATTTTTTTTCAGTTGGTAAATACAGCAAAGCTGTGGTCGCAGCTTGCAGGAAGGCAGTACAAGACAATAACACAGATGCATTGATTAAGATATTACAAGCAGGAAATTGTTAAATAAAAAGAACTGTATATTAATTAAAAATATTTATTGAAAACACTTTTAGGTCATCAGTCAATTTATCTAGATTTTAAAATACTTGTTCATATTTGTAGATCAATATTGCAATATGGTTTAAATCTATATTGTACTTAGTTAATTATAAATTATAAATTGGCACAAACATAAAAGAAAGAGAAACTTACATAACTAAATTATACTTAATGAGTAAGAATTATTATAATCTTCATTTAAATATTATGGTAAAGTCAAACTTATTTTAAAAGTTATAATTATTGCTGCATATGTCATTAAATAAATCAAAGAAAAATTTGAACTTATCATTTGATTGCATAAAAAAACTTTGGACACTAACAACTTAAAACAATTCTACAGCTTTAACATTCTTTTCAACTGAATTTCAACAATAATTTTCCAGGCTTATAGTTAACAATGATTTATAAAATAACACTTCAAAATTCGCTTCTTACATTCTAAAAGGGATTCTTTGATTTAACAATAAGGCACTTCCAAGACACGTTAGAAATATACTATGTATATAATCTCTTTTGGACTGTTGGTAGAAAATTACGTAAAATTATTTCCATATAGGCATTGTGATGTGTAGAGCACATAGAATTAGAAAAAATACACAATATTCGGTTAGACCATAAACAAAGAAAAGTACATAGTTATCTCAGTCTTAGACCATAGACAAAGGTAAAATACACAGTAACCTCTGAGACCATAGACAAAAATTACACAGTGATATCTTTTGTAGCGTAATGAACATCATCAGCGCTTACATTTAACAGTAGCCTCGGCTCGGAGGGCTTTGGTTCCATTAGCAGTAGTTTGATAGATGCCAACCTGGCGCAAATAGCCTGCGCTTGCGACGGTGTCGGCGGTCGTATGCTGGGGGCGGACGCGTACGGACGACCTTCTATCGCCACTATATCTGCTGCTTTGGCCAACGCACGGGATAAAGTCGTTTCATCAGAACCTGTTCTTTCAACCTGAAATAAATATAACTAGTTCAATTTACTCAGTCAGTGGTCACTATGGGAGCTGCTAAGGGGAAATTTCTAATAGTAAATCTATACTAAAGAAGACCACTTAAGGATTCTTGAGAAAAATAGTTAAAACATACAAAAAATAGTTGTGTAAAATTACCTCAGCGGCGACAGCTCTCAGCATGAGCCTCTCAGCGGGCGAGCAGGTCTTCAGGGCTCGGACGACTGCGCTGGATGCGGCCTCAGCCAGCGCGCGCTCCACTTCGCCCAGACCCGCACGCCCCGAGCCAGCCAACTCCAGCGCACGTGAGCACAGCGCCAACGCGCGCCGGGCATCACCAGATACAGCAGCTACTTTCCTGTTTATTAAGTAATTTAATGGTTCATTAGTACTGATTTCATTGTTTAAGGTCCATTGGCCAGCGCCGGACGCACTGAATGCACGGCCCACAGCGGATTTTAGTTTGCTTTGATTTTACATAGCGTGTTTAAGACCTTTAGGCTACATTTTACCCGATTAAGGGTCATACCTGGCTATCAATTGCACCGCGTCCGCAGTAACATTGGCCTGTCCCAGCCTAGCGGCTACAATGCTCTGCAGCTGCACGTGTGTGTATGGTGGGAATGTGAGGCGCGTGAGGCCAACACGTGAGGCGACTCGTGACGCCAGCGCCCTCTCCGGCAGGTCCATGGTGTTGGCCACCGCCAGCACTGTCAGTAGGGCGCTGCTGTGTGTCGACCACTCCATTATACTGTACAATACGTCCTGACGTCTAGTACATAAGGCGTCCAACTGAAATAATTCAATTAAACATTAGAACATTGGTCCTTCGAGCCGGATAATGTAAAAAAAATCTGAATAAGTTAAAATTGCAAAGCTACTAAGACTTAAGATTTTTCTTGGCGTGCTACATTTTACTAGACTCGATTGGATGAACTAGGCGAGTTGGCGGCATTGTACGTGTTAAAAGACTGTCTGTTACTAAAGTAATGGTAGTTTTGTGTGAGGTTTTACTTATTGAATTACAAACCTCATCAACAACTAAGACTGTTGGTGTTCTGCGAGGGCCGGGCTTCGTGAAACGCTTCTCTAGTAAAGAGCATGCTTGCTCCCATACAACAGATTTACCTAAAATAAATAAAGAAATTTGAAGAAAATTTAATGGCATGGTTTACTTTATTATATAATAGCTGGCGCCCGCTACTCCATCCCCGCGGAATTAAAAAAAACAAATTTAATCGACATCCATCCACGCAAACATTTGTAATATTAGTAAGATTAAAACTTTCGTCATATTTATGTATAATACATAATAGCATTATATGTTTTTGTGCATGTACATATGGTGAGTATACACATATTATATACTCACCGGTCAGTTGTTTATATATTTGAACATATGCTTGTCTTGGTTCAGCAATTCTCATTCCGTTGACCTCAACTAATTGAAACTCGGGAAGATCAGATTCTTCTTTGAGGATTTTCAATGCGGAGTTAACAGTTGCTGTTTTACCTGTGCCGGGTACACCTGATATGTACATACACCTAGATTGAAATACATTTTATTAATATAAATACAGTGGAACATGGATAAACCTTTATAAATAAGTCATTGTTTGGTCCTGAACGACAACCACCATAAGAAACTTCTATAATGAGACATTTTACAGTCTGGAAGTACCATCTCCATAAGCAAGAAACTCTCTGAGAGGGAAACTTTCATAAGTAAGATAGATATCACTTGGACAATCAATTATCCAAGTTTGACTATAAGTGGAAGAAATTCCGCGTTTCGTCTGATGAGTGTGCGTCCCGGAGGCCTAATTTAGTCCTCTTTCCCTTCCCACCCTTTTTCTTATAAAGAAAGGATGGGAAGTGGAAGTGGACTTTCCGGATGAGAGGATGCATGGAAAGGGAAGATAGTTTCATTCTGTGCATCCTCTCCTCCGTCGATTAAAGGTAGGCAACGCATATGCAATTGCCTATATCTATGGGTAACGGTCACTTCGCAATTTTAGCCATTTTAGGTGGCCGCTGGCTCTTTTGCCACCTTATGATATAAAAAAAAGTGAGCCCTTTTTTATTCTGATTGAACAAAATAAAAAATTTTTTTGGTGAATTCTTCTATTCCTTCTATTCTCATATTTCTTTTGGTGTAATATCACAATTAGATTTATTGATGAAAATAATTATGAAGTTATCACTTACCCACTCATATTATCTAATAATTTATTTCTAACATAAGACAGTATTTCTTTCATTTGACTCTCTCGTCCCGGTAAAGATTGATTTTCTTTTAGGAACTCTGTAAAAAGTTAAAATGCGAAGTTAAATTAACATCTCTATATCTATGGACATTTATGTAGACCAGTCTTTCTCAAAGTGGACGATGCACCCCCTTGCAGTCCCCTTGTGAGCGCTGCAGGTTTCAAGTTGCGGGTTATAGTAAAATTTTATTTTAGAATTCTCCGTTAATATACATATATAGGTCACAATAATTAATTAATTTAATTTGGAGTTACAGTGGTTTTTAAATATGTGAAAATATGGGGGCGCTAAAAAATATTTATTCTCAAAGTGGGCAGTAGACAAAATAAGTTTGGGAACCACTGATGTAGACCAATCTTTTTTTTACAACAAACGACATATATGGACTCTTGGTCCATACTCTTTTTTGGCACATATTCTTTATGCTAAATTACAATAGTAAGCTCCTTCTTTATTATTATTTAGCTAGTATTACTGGACTTTACCAATGTTCACATCATTTGGTCTTAAAAGGCCTTGTGTCCAATTTAAAAGAAAGATAAAAACAATCAGTTTTTTTTTACCAAGGAATTACTAAAACAATATTACCTTCTATATTATCTAGAGAATGAGCTCTACAATGTAAAGTAGGTGTAAGCTCGCTCATTAGTATCCTCTTACTAGCACTACGTTTAGGTGTTTTAGCAATTATCCTAGATGTTTTAGGAGTTCTAGGGGTTTTAGGTGTTCTAGGCGCTGTTGGTGTTTTGGGTAATGGTCTAAAATCATCATCACTGTCACTTGTATATCTTTTTATATTCTTTCTAGGCGTTCTTTTTATGGGTGATGTTTCATCTGTTATATACTTTAGAGGATGTTTAGTTTTTCTTCCAGAACGAGTTGAATAAGTAACTGTTTCGTCTTCATGGAATAATTCTTTCTTTGGTGTGTGCATAGAATCGAAACTTATTGATTCTCTTTTCGGTGTACTTGGTTCTACTTTTCTAATAATAAGTGTTGGTAATTCATCATTGGGATTTTCTTTTAGCACCATGGACAGTATTTCTTCACAGTTACGTATTATTTTTTTACTACTCTTTGGTGTTTCTATTAACATTGGTTCTTCTTTTAATATCTTCTTCGGTGTTGTTTGTATGGGTGTTTGTTTTTCGTTTTTGTCACATAAAATAGCTCGCTTGAGTAATAACTTAGTGTCATCTTTTTTCGTTACATTCCAGTTTGATTCTGATAGTGAAATTCTGCTCATTCTACGTGATAGGTTTGGTGTTTTCGGTGTTGTGGACAATGAGTTGCTTTTTTTAGGTGTATTTAATAATTGCAATGCATTTCTTTCTAATTCTAATACAGGTTCAAGATTGACCTTTCTTCTTCCATTAGCTATGAGCCTATATCTACAGATATAATTATAAAGAGTAGGTCCTGTTAATATGTTATCGGAGTCTTTAGTATGAGCAAGTGTTATGGAACATTTTTTATAAAATGTTTCTATAGAAACATGAGTGTCAAAGGGACGATGATCTTCTATTACCTGAAAAACACAAAGAGTGAAGTTTTTTATTAATTATAATTTATCTGAAACTTTAAAATTATTTTTCTATATACGGTCAGTAGCTAACTTAGTGCCCTTGCCTTTTAAATAAATTTTGAAAAATGTTCATGTTACCTCTCTGTCAAAGAAACAGATTTGATCTGATTTATTTAAACATCCTTTGGGCAAATCATTTGGTTTTGAGTACCACTGCACATTAGCTCTGTATGGATCTGTTTTGTTGGAAAGATCCTCATAAAGTGATAATATCTTGGCAGCATCACATCCCTCTTCTGTGTCCGGCTCGGCAGCGTCAGCATTCGATATTAATACATAGTCACCAATCTCGCCAATTATTTCTTTGAATTGAAACTTCCTAGAAAACATTGAATTTCATAAATAGTGAACCTTTAGGGTGATTTATTTAAATAAGCGATGAATTTAATGCTTTCATTTGTTTCTTAAATAAAAAAATTAACAGCATAAAAACTTACTCGTAATGTTTGAAGCTCGTAGTAAAACATTTTTCATTAGGTATCTCATCACTTAACCAAACAACGGGCTTAGATTTTGATGTCCTTCTTCTCATTATTTTAATTTAAAATTTTAAGTATTATGAATTTATATTTCAAAGGTTATTTAAGTTTACCGTTTTTGATTCGAGTTGTCAAATGGAATATCAAAAGTCAACAATATTCGCGGGTGAATATTACTGACATATGACAAAACAATGTTTAATATATAATTATATAATTGCTTATTATTTTTCAACTATCTTATTAACTTAAAACTTCTTATAAAAATCTGATAGATATGATTGTTTTATATTTATAAAGTTGCTTGTTAATGTAATATAACTTGTGTTGTGTTTCTTGTGCCGGTGAACGTTGCAAGATGCATGTCAATGTCACTTGAATCATTGTTTCACGTCAGTTGTCAGTTGTCATTGTCATTTACACGTTTTGATTTGGTTTAGGATTGTTTGGTTATAATTTGTGAATGTAGATAAAATGAAGTTAAAGCAAAAGAAAACGACAAAGACCACGTTATCAGAAAAAATTGCAGATGCACTCACTGTAAAGCCACGTGCTGATATCGAAGACGATAATGTTTTCGGCACAAAACCAAAGACACTTTCACGTGCAGAATTCAGTTCTTCGGATAGCGAAGATGATACGTTAATTAGTGATTTTAGAAAGAGGAATGTTAATTTGTTAAGTGAAATCAGTAAAAAATATGAAGGTAAAGTTGTTTCACGGAAGGATCTTGAAAAAGATAGTGAAAACGATGGTTCTGATGATGCAGATTCTGCAGCGTCGGACAACGCGGATGAGAAGGAAGAATCAAACATTGACAGTGAATCGGGAGATGAGAGTGATGATTATAGCATAACTAAGATACAACAGCAAATAACTGGTACAGACGATGAGTCTGAAGTATCTGAAGGTGATGATGATGATGGAGAACAAGATGATGGTGGCAGTGATGATGACAATGAAGGATATGATATAAGTGCTTTAGATGAGCCTGTTAAAGAAAGTTTTGAGCATATGAAAAAAGAAAATATTTCTGAAGAAGCAAAGAAGGGTGCTTGTGTAAGAAATCAATTATTGATTTGGGAAGGCCTTTTAGAAATGAGAATACATTTACAAAGGTGCATGGGTACTGCTAACAAAATGCCATTTAATGACACATTTAAAGAATTAAGAGAAAATACAGAGTTCATGGAGGAAAGTAATAAGACTATAAATAATGTTGCAACGGTTTTGGACAAGTAAGTATCCAATATATCAATGAGCTACTATTGAATTTGTTCTTTAGTTATTAGATTTATTCATCTTGTAATTATTGATTTTTGTATTGTATTTAATAACTTTATTAGATATTTATTTGATTGTAAAAAGCAGGTCTAAAAGTTACTTTATATTTGCTGTGCAAACCCAATTAATGACAAACTATCTGTTTCAGATTACTAACAATTCAAAATTTATTGTTTAAAAATTTTCCTGAGACTAAATCATTGTCAAACAAGAAGACAGGTGTTGAGGTAAAACAAAAGACGGAAGAAAGTGACGAAGAGATCCCAAGTGATACAGATAATGAAGAAATACCATCTGACACGGATGAAGAACCGGAAAAAGCACCAGAGAAGGAAAATAAAGAAGATAAAATTAAAACAATAAAGAAACGTAAACTTGAAGACTACGATAACGAACTTGATACATCACATAAAGCTTTCAAATCCTTTAGAGATACTACAATACAGAAATGGAATGAGAAAACACGTATTGCAGCTAATATAAAAAATGCACCATCAAATACAATACTTCAACAAATAAATTACATATTATCTGATAGAAACAAACTCATAAAACGTACACAATTAAAACGAAACGAATATGATATAATTGGTTATAAAAAGATGGAGGAAAATGAAACAAATGATAATCCTGTTATAAAAGATAGGAAAGACAATGATGAATATATTCCAGAAATATTTGACGATAGTGATTTTTATCATCAATTGTTACGGGAGTTAATTGAATGTAAATCAGCTGATATATCAGATCCGGTACAACTGAGTCGACAGTGGATAGCGTTGCAACAAATGCGGAGTAAAATGAAAAGAAAAGTCGACACTAAAGCAACTAAAGGTAGAAGAATCAAATATGTAGTGCACAATCAGTTAGTTAATTACATGGCTCCGGAGAAATCTGTATCTTGGACTGATGAAAGCAAAAATGAATTGTACAGTTCTTTGTTTGGTAAAATGTTTGAACACAACAATATAGGTTTGAATGTTAATATAGAAAATGGCAAAATAAAAGAGTAATTTGATAAAATTGTATTTAACTTTTATTCCAAAATTGTAGTGTTGGTATTTAACACTGAAAAAAACTTTGTTTCTCGAATACGATGTTCGTGAAACAACGTAAAAACGCTTTTACCAACACTTTTATACCATACCATACCATTTAATCTACTTGGTTACTTTTTTTTTTGTCTAATGAAGTCGCAGGCAACTGTTAGTTGTATAATATAAATTCATATAGTGTATCTACTTTCCTAACTTTAGCATCACTAAGGACTCCCTTAGTGTGAGATGTCTCCTTTATTAATTTTACACTAAGTGACACGGTATTGTGTAAAATTAATTATAATAAGGAAGTAAATAATAATTAGTAATTAATGAAGAAAAATTAATCAATCTTACTTATAAAATAAATGCGAATGTTTGGATGGATGGATGTTTGTTTGAAGGTATCTACAGAATGGCTGAACGGATCTCGATAAAAATTAGCTTACATATAGAACATAGTGTGGAAGATCACATATGCTACGATGTTTTTTTTAATTTCGCGCGGATGGAATCGTGGGCGACCGCTAGTGTTGAATAATTTAAGTGTTGCCATCTATCTGGGAATCTAATGCGGGTGTTACAACGCGATTTATTTGTCGATAAAGCACAGGAAGTTATAATAGTAAGGAAGCGTTTAACGATTCCTTCGCAATATTAATACAACAAGTGAAAATAAATATGAAAACATATAAAGTTTTTATATGTTTTCTGTAGTTATTTCCTATATCTAAATATTCCGATAATAATTTACGTTTATAACAGAAATATTATTTATGAAGTCTACCAAGCAGAATTCTAATAATTTTTTTTTTATCATATTTAGACGTCTGATATTTATTTTATAAAATCTCTATCAAATATATACTTTTTCCAAAATTGTAAATGCGAAAGATTAGGTGAATAAATGTTTGCTAGAAGGTTTTTCCAGAACGTCTATGGATCAATGGATCTCGCTGAAATTTGTCATACATGTAGAATAGTTATTATTTAGAATACGTAGGCTACTAATTAAGTTTTTTTCACCGCGCAGAGGGATTCTCGGGCGACAGCTAGTCTTATATTTCTTATCTAAATACTGGCCTCATTCGTCGCGGTTCACCTTAGAGACTTAAAAATTATTTTTATTTTATCACGTGTAACCTACATGGATCTTAGTTTATTTTTTTAAGATTAAGGTTTATCAATTGATGGTAACAAATTAGCATAGTTAATGACAAAGTACATAATTGGAATATTTTATTATATATTATGTAAACATACATATCAGTACTCATAGTCACTCTCTATACGACCCCAATGAGGGGTCTAAGTTAGAGGTGACTAGGCCATAGTCATCCACGCTGGCTCTGTACGAGTTAGTTGACTTCACACATGTCTTTGGATTTCTTCGTAAATATGTATAGGTTGCATCACGATGTTTTCCTTCACAGTAAGAACGTCGATTAAATATACTGTTAGGAAGAAAATCCGGGAGTCAGTGCATTGACTCAACACTGGCCTTACTAGCATATCGACGTTTGTGTCCACTCACATTCATTCTGATATATACTTACTTACGATACTTTGTAACGAAAGCACGTCATTGGCGCCCAGGGGTTGTAATTAATAGTACATATGTAAATCGAAAATTGAAAAACACATTGGTACATAGCGGAATCGAATCCTGGAGATTGCAAGTCAAATGCTTAACACCCGAGTCACCGACGTTCTCATACATATAATATGTATTATATTTTCATATTATTTCAGGTGCTTGTAAATTTATAATCTTTAATTTTTGATGTAACTTATATGATAAACTTCCTTGAGTTATGTAATTGGCACGACCAGCACGCCATTTACCCGTGAGGTGCAATATCTATATAGTGTTGCAGTAAGTAATGAACTTCAAGACATTCTTAAACTATTCTGATAAATCTCATTCATATTCCATACATACAATGTTTGTTCTTACTTTGTTTACTTATCAATATTAGTAATTGAAGCTTAGACTTAGTAATTAAGGTGATAGAATCATATAAATAAGTATAGTAAATATTTGTTTTGTTTTTATTTATAGTTACATAAGTATTTCAAACATCTCGCCAGCTCGGAAGATCGCATGAGGCGCTGCGTAGAAAAAAAAATCATAAAAACAGGAGAGTCGTAAAGTAAAACATGAGAGTCGTAGTGCTCAGCGCGCTGCTGATCCGTCGAAAATATTGAAACGGCCTACACGTTATCTACTCAAAAAAATCTACCCTTATTAGTGTTAGATTAAATTTATTAGTGTTGACTATGAACGCATTTAGCCGCGACATCCGTGTCCAGATTATCAACACTAGCGACCTCTGGAGACGCGGGCTATCTTTGCATGTAAACATCAACTATCGGATAATAAGTTCAGAGCTGCCCACTTGTTTTCGGTGATTTCATTATAGCCAATTAATTATATTGTCAATTCATCCGTAAAATCGGTAAATTATAAAGCATGTTAAACGATTTACAACTTAAAAAATAAGGCGTTAAGATTGATATTTGTACGCTTGGATACGTTTAATAAATAAGATATCAATAAGGATTGTGTAGGGGCGAACGTTTGACAGATTGCAAAATATATCGCGCTGTAATGGGACGCTAGTTGAGAGGAATTTGTGCGAGGATTTCGCGGAAATACAGACGAGATGTCACGACGTAGCATAAATTGAGGTATTGAAAAAGCTGCCGTGTATTAATGCAGGGAAAATATAGAATAACAAGTAACGAATGTAAAAAATTATTCGCATTGTAGTATTTATTATAAACTAACTGTCGTCCTCGAGGAGTTAAAAACAACCTTGATTAATAGGTCATGTGTTCTTCCGGACTATGTTCTACATATATGCCAAATTTCAGCAAGATCCATGCAGTCGTTCAGGAGATACCTTTACACAAACATCCATACATCCATCTAAACATATGCATTCATAATATAAGTAAGATAAAATTATGGTAAAGCCAGTAACTTTTCATGCTTTCCTGCATTATTTGAGAAATTACTAGAACGCCATTGAACACCTACGTACTCGTACGTAGAATTTATTGCCTGTCAAATTACGCGCCAAATTAGATGACCAAAATGTGAGTACGTATTGTTGACACAGATAACGTATATTTTGTAAGATAAATATACTAGGGTCTGCTTCAGTAACTATTAAACGACTCAAAAGACCATGGCTCCTTTTTGGCAGCTAAAATAAATGTATCCGCATTGTATATATAATATTAAAGATAATCTAACCGGTTTCCAGTGGCGAAATAAATATATAAAATAAGTTATTTTCCGATAGCAATTAGTATTATGATTTGGTACCATTTCCACTTATAATCAGTTAATCTCAATAAAATACGTTTCTTTTTAATTCCATAAAACTGAAAGGTATCAAAAGAGGAACGATATTATTTATTTTATGATTTACTTCGGCTCCGACCGTGTAATTCCATGTTTACAAATACGCCATAAAAAAATTACGCAATCTTCCATTTAGAAAAATCCAAACCCATTTTAATATTTCGCCGAACAAATAAGGTAAACGGGCGATTTAATTCGTAAACACCTTAAAGGTTTTTATGTTTTTCCGTTAAAATATTCCGTGAAATTTTATCACGATACGTCTGATGTGCGTGACACGCTTGATTTTTCCTTTTTTTTATTTTGCAGCAAAAATATATTTTGTTTTAATATCTCAAGCATTCGAAACATTTTAAATTTTACACGTTTTGTTATGCATAAAAGTATTTCTTCTTCATATTCTTCATTACTGAAGGTCGTGCTTGTCTTGATAAGCCTTCACAGATGCTATGTTTTTCTAAAGTGTACTAAATATATAAGTTATTTGTTACTTACTTCCTTACTAATTTGGGAAAAATGATAATGCATCGATCATTGATTAGGTGACAAAGTAATACCAACATTACTAGCTGAATAATTCTTACGACAATTTGCTGTATATTCGATTAACTCTTTGTCTGTGTTGTGTTAACTATTTTACCACTTTGAACAGATTACATCGGTAGCTCAGGGGTCAAGCACTTGACTTGCAATCTGCAGGTCCTGGGTTCGAACCCCGCCATGTACCAATGTGTTTTTCCATTTCCGATTTACAAATGTATATTTATCCGACGTTCTTACGGTGAAGGAAAACATCGTGATGCAACCTGCACATATTAGAGAAGAAATTCAAACATATGTGTGAAGTCAAACAACCCGCACTTGGCCAGCGTGGTTGACCATAGTTAATCACCCTTAACTTAGGGTAGGCTCCGAGCCCCTTGGTGGGGACGTATAGTGAGCTGGTGATGACCATATTATGTGGTAAATGCTAGACATGACAACGAATTCGAAATTTATTTTATGTGAAATTCGCTATCCGATAACATAAAGCATAATAAGGCACTTACCGTCAAAGATTTTTATTTATTATTATAACTCGACTCCGAAAATACATTTATAAATCCCTACTTTTTATACAAACGTATATGATATAAATAGATTAAAATTTTCGAATTTACTAAAAATGTTGCCATTAGGAAAATAATTTACATTGTATTCATGGCCGTGCATTAATAAAGTCCGTGCAAGCGCAATCGTAGAGTTTATATACTTCTTAAGTAAGCTTTAAACATCTTAAATTATACTTTTAAGATTTTACTAACTTATTTAATAATTAAAAACACATTTCACCTTCACGACGCGTGTCTTTAAACTCCATCGGGGGTTGGTAAAGAACGTTAACCCGTTCCAACGAACAAAGCGACCAACAGGAATGTAATAAATTTTCATATTATACAGATTATTATTTATAGATAACTTTGTAATGTTTCTTATTTGATACGATAAATACAATAAAAGGCTGAAGTTATCTAACAAAACATTATGAGGTTACAAACGATGATGGTTAAAATCGGCGTGGTATTAAAAAAAAACCTATAAGTTCTTCCATCTTCTACATGTATGCAAATTTTATCGAGATCCCTTAAGCCGTTTTGGAAATACCTTCTAACAATTATCCGTCCGTCCATCCATCTTAACTTTCGTATTTATAATATGATAAGATAGTAAGATTGTTATCTCTACTTTTCCCTTGAAATATAATGTTTCAAGATAAATCTTACTGGCAATTGAATTTTACAAATCTCTTGAAGAAATTAATATGCGATACATCATAAATACGCTGATCTTACTTCTTACTAATATTATAAATGCGAAACTTTAGACGTATGTTTTTTTGAAGGTATCTCCAACGGATCTTGATAAAATTTGGCATAGACGTAAAACATAGTCTGGGAGGCTAAATTTAAAATCCACGTGGACGGTGTCGCGGGCGACAGCTAGTTATTCGATAAACTCACTTTAATTGTTATATTCAGATTATTAAGAAAAATAGCAAACAGAACTTGGGATATCTAGATTCAGGGTTAAAGCATTAGAAAATCCATTATGAAATGTAAAAGTTCAATGTTGTGATGTTGTGGTGCTGCCACCTAACATCATTAAAAGGTGTTTACGACGCACCAGCTGAGTGCGACAATTGACGACAACGGGTGGTCCAAGGGGACGTCAAGCCATGGATAGTGCAAGACAAGAGCGAAAGAATACTTAATAAGGTTATATTCAATTTTGTAAATTCCGTTAAGTAGAGTAAGCTCCTTCACCATTTGTTTATTAATCTCTATAGTCGGTGTGCAACCACGCCTTTAAAATCTATACTTTGTCTAAGATTAGTCTAGAAATTAAACTACTCAAATGTCTAGTTGAAAAAAACAAGTGCTAAATGCATAAAATAGTACAGTCTCTGTTTTAAAAAGTGTATATTTTTAAAAATGAAGCACAGAATTTATAACAAAGAAAATTACGAAAATTTGATTTAATTTTCGGATAAATGAAACACATGTAAGTCAGGATTACAACTGCTTTACAACAAATATATTTAATTATAATATTAAGCCATTAACATTTTAATATTATAAGTATATTAATTTAATAATATTTCCACTTTATTATCAACGCTTACAGCTAACATTTGCACCCCATTCAACCCGTAAGAGAGATAACATCTGGGCGGGCGGCGTCGGGCCAGTAGCGAACGCGACCGCGGCACTAACAAACGCCTCTCCAGCCCGCAAACTCCAGCCTGTAAACTCCTGACGAACTATCTACTGATTTGTGTACACTAAAGTGCAGTGAAAGTGCTGCTTGTGCTTATGTGAAATAATCTGGATGCCGTAAAATTTTGGTGAGCATTGAAATTAATTTTAATATTACGTGTTTTTTCTAGATTTATACTATAAATGTATAGAAACTTTTATTACCCTCTTTAGATAGTCGGAAAAAAATTGGTAGTTGGAAAAGATATTTTTAAATTGTTTAATTTTAAATACTCTAAAACATTGACTGAAAATTGGACTCGTATACAAAATAATAAATGAAAATATTTGGAAAGCAAACTATAAGAATCGCTATTAAATAGATATTCATTAATCATTAATTAAAATAAAAATCCAATGCAACCTGTAATAACGGTATTAATATAAAAGTACATGTATTTTTGCAACATGTTTTTATTAGTCTATTTCAAGCGATTATTGATGCGCATTTTAGTTACGTTGTTTTCCTGATAGCTCACGTAATTATAATATTTGTTGCATCTTATACAAAAATCACGTTACATTAAAATTATTGTATAATCTATAAAGAAATATATCTTATTTGATTGTTCGCTAATTTCTGTCAGTTTTAGAAAACGTTACCTTACCTTAGGCGTTTGCCAACAAATTCGATATCAATTTTGTATTAGTTGTTATGCCGGAATCACATATTTCCCTTAACAATTTTAACTAAGTAAAGATGCCAATCACACATATATAAAGCCCTTAAGCAAATATAGTTATAGAAATCTTCTTCTAGCTTTTTGCTTTTCTTTCGTCATGTATAACGTTAAACTTGTCGACTATAGAATTCAAATTTCCGCGTTACAAAGGTTTGCATTTATTATTTTTAATAGAATCAATTTCGATACTCAAATTAAATAAACAGAGCATTCTAATTTGTTTCAAGATATATTTAGGGTTCCGTACCTCATAGGAAAAAAACGGAACCCTTATAGGATCACTTTGTTGTCCGTCCGTCTGTCTGTCAAGACCGTTTTTCTCAAAAACGCGTGAAGTTATCAAGCTGGAATTTATTTTATATAACAACTGTTACTGTTTGCTCAACAATATCAAATATCGCTTTTTCATAAATGGAAGTAATAAAAGAGCCATTTATCTTTGCTGATGTTATATGTTCAGTTTACATTATTCCAGTCGAATGAAATCAACACTGGATTACAACTGGAATTATATAAACTCACACTGGAATATGGCATAAATTTTATGGACGAAATTTGATGTAACTTTGATAATTGTTCTTCGAAGATTTCAGCGAAAATTTGTATTGTAAAAAAATATACCACGTTACTAAATGACATTATTTTGATTATGGCATTGGAGCTAATATTTCTTCAGTCAGTATATGATAAAATAATACGAAGATAGAACATATTTCAATTTAAATTTTAAAACAACTAAAAATAATTTGCGTTAACGTGTAAATTATTAAACCTAGAAGACTTATTGTATATTGATTCCTGTTGAGAGAACATCGCTGTCTCCTGTCCCTCACATCAAAGGAATGCGCGCATTACCGGTATAAGTCTGTCATAACATTTCAAATTCCGCACTCATATATCTTTGACTTTCATGTCCTTGTGTTTTCTTTTATGACATCTTTACCATATAATAGATTTTCCGCGTTAATGGATCCGTGGTCGTGGATACAATATTTTTTCCATATTAGTGAAGGGCCTTGATGATGGTGTGTGATGTTAGTTTATAGAAAAGCTACAAATATAGAGAGCTACAGAAAGTATATATTTTTTTAATTTTTCTAAAAAAATTACCGTAGACGTGCTACGACTATAGTTGTGTAGATCTGTAGAGTAGATGCGAGTTCTAAATACAAATTCGTAACCTATATTTAATCGTTATAAAAAGGTCGCCATCTTTCTTAAGGTTTGCTTTACTAACAGATATTTCATGTCTACTAAAGACTTAGTCCTTTCGGCAACGTAAATTTCCGAAACATGACAATTTTAGTCGCTAAGCTACATGTCGGTGTCATAGAGCTTCGTACGAAGCGTCGCCGACATTTTATTCTTTCGCTATGATTTTCTAAATGCTATGTCATACTACCATTGCCGATATATGTTGTAATCTAGCGCTGGGTTCGATTTTCGACTGGAATATTGTAAGCTATGCAAAACAGTACAATATTTGTGTTCTCAGGAACAACCCAAATAACTTGTCTTGAGAAGATCCGAAGGCGTAATAAGGTTAAGTGTCGTTAGAAAGATTTTTAAAAAGTAAATTTGCGAAAGACATCGTTGATTACAAGTATCGGGCCTCGAAATAATACTAATGAAGTATCGTTTACTCTCGTCAAATTCGACGCTATTATATTTTATAGAAACATTTCCATATTGAAACCTGTAGTTAAATATTGGAAACATGTGTTTAAAATACATATAAAAACGGTAATAAAAAAAATATGTCTATTAAAAAGAGTGATTTATTTCGCCGTAATATTTATCGTAAATTGAAACGGAGAGACCAAAAGTGTTATTAGCTTTCAAACTTTTGTTTTTTATTTATGAATTATCAGTTGCCCGTGACTTTGTCCATGCGTAATTAAAAAAAATCTAGTAATAAATATGTAGATATAGGCCTACGTCACTCGGGTATAGTGTAGCTTCGCAACAGTGAAAGAATTTTTCATATCGGTTTAGTAGGTAAGGAGCCAAACATTCAAATCTTTCCTCTTTATAATCTTACCTCTTACAAATATTATAAATGCGAATGTTTAGATGGATGGATGTTCGTTTGAATGTATCTACAGAACCACTGAACGGATCTCGATGAAATTTGGCATACATATATATAGTCTAGAAGAACACATAGGCTATTAATTATGTTTTTCCGAACTGACGGAATCGCGGGCGACCGCTAGTATTAGTATTTCAGTCAAAGAACAGTGTTATAATTTCCACATTAAACAATTGCTAAATAGAAACGATGTCTTTACAGAAGCTCAAAGCTTTCTAAAAATTGATAAATTAATAACAATTTGCTCAAAGGAACCCTGTTTTTTGTATATATACTAGCTGTCGCCCGCGACTCCGTCCGCGTGGATACATAAAAAACTTAATATATACATACGTTAAATAAAAAGTAGCTCTTCAAGGCATTAATTCGAAAAAAAAGAATAAATAGTATCCTATGTCCGTCTCCTGGCTCTAAGCTACCTCCTCACCAATTTTCAGCCATATCGGTAAAGCCGGTCTTGAGTTATAAATAGTTTAACTAATACGACTTTCTTTTATACATATATAAGAAGAAGATATGGCTGTTCTTTTAATATAATCAATTCTTTGGCATCTGATAACAGATTCAAAGTTTGTAAAGGATCAGATTATCTGTCCCTTATTTCTATCAAAAAGTGAAATTACTGTATAATATATTACATAATGTTTCATGTTTCCTTTGTCCGAGTTCATGTAATAATTCTTTATAGCGTCGAAACCTTCGAAAGCACCCCCATTGTGGAATATAATATGGATGGCAATTGATTTATCTCTTGTGTGTACAAGCAATATTTTGTATGGGTGTCGGATTAAACACGACTCTCTAGCTTTATTGCCATACACGCTTTTAGCGCGACTTCATTCATAATTTACCTAAATGCTTGTAATTTGTAACGTAACATTATTTTTACGTTTAGAGTTTGAAAGTTGAGTTCTTTTTGTCAGTTAGTCATAGCTGATTAACTTAGGAACAGTGGTAGAGCCCGTTATAATATCTTTTGTACGCGTGAAGTGGAAGTAATTCCGCGTTTTGTCTGATGAGCATTACAACGCATTTGTAAATACAGATGTCTTAGTCTTGGACAAAGGTCACTTCTCGTTTTCGGCGAATTCAAGTTCCCTTTTGCTAGTTTGCCACCTTTTGCTACATAACAAATGATTGCGCGTTTATGTTTTTATGTCGTGTGCGTACTTCTCTATTGTAATCGACTTGATCTCCTGATTAACATCGGAGTACAGTTTTTTTAAGTGTTTTATACATCTTTTATGATTTTTAATTAAGCTACTTTTGTAGAGACGTAAATATATCTTTATAACTTGTATTTATTCACTGGAAAATTAAAGCTTTATAAAAGAAATTTATTCACAATTCACGGGTCCAGTTTTCTAACAAAATTTGCATGTCCGATTGACCATCCCTTTTCCCAATAGTTGAGACGTTCGCTACTATGTCAATAGTCTGTAACAAAGTATCATATCGTAAAATATTTCCCAATCCATTTAGAAAGGCTGTGATAACATAAAATAGTTATTAGTTTCGGACGACTATTAAATTGTTTATGGTTTCATAGATATATGATTTAACCAACAAATTTAATGGATTGAAAACTTGTTTATAGTGAAACTAGCTGTCACCCGTAACTCCGTCCGCGCGGAATTAAAATAAACATAATTAGTAGCTCATATGTTCTTCCAATCTATGTATGCCAAATTTCATGGAGATCCGTTCAGCCGTTCTGGAGATATCTTCAAACCATCATCCATCCATCTAAACATTCGCATTTATAATATAAGTATGATATTATTGGTTCAAAATTTATAACATAATAATTGTTGATTGCGTCTTTATAACATAGAATTAAAAGACAAGTAAGTAATCTATGCCTATACATATTTCGTTTGAAAACAACGATAAGATAATCATATTTAAATAAGATTTTCTCGTATCATGTTCATGATTTATTAAACTTCGATTAAAGACTTGAAAGGTAATCTTATGAAAGCCCATTTTAAATATACATAATATAGGCAATGTGTAATTTAACTTGTATGCAGTAAAGTTTAAAATTGAACGACGTTTTCAATATCCTTCCGGGACGTGCGTATGTCTCGGAATCGATTATTAACTCAACGCATGTGTGGGACGCGGTTTTATCCGATGTTATATTAGTTTGACATTTGGTTGAGCTGAAATTGACTTATCTGTACACTTAAGATAGGCTTCCACTGTGACGACGCAACAGTCTCATCATCTCCCCGTCCTTGTCCCACTTACGTAGGGTCAGCGCACTAGGTTTCCGCCCCCCATATGTCTACCGTCATCGCAATCATCACTC